CTCTTTTCTCGCTGATCACAATCCTATGAGAATTCTCTTGGCCTAATGACCTCAGTTTGAGAATCCCAGAACTCTAATGCATCACTGGGTCTCAACCTTCTTTCATAACTACTTATTTGTCTAGTTGTGTCTCTACTCATATTACATACTTTCTTATCCTTGGAAGATGATGCTGGAATGTGGGTAATGCTCACACAAAGGGGAAAATTTAGCTTAGCTTGAGAAAGTTCGTTGACGCCTTGACCATGATATTATCTGAGGTTTTTGAAAGATAAAGCAGGTGGTGGAGGTAGAGGGTAGAAAGAGGTCAAGCGGTTGGTGGGCTATAATCTGCCATAAAATGAGTTCTTCTCTCAGGTTCCCATGCAACCAGAGAGGCAGGTGTAACCAAAAAAGCAGAAATTGTACAGGAAGAAAGAGTTGAGATAATTGTATGGAAAATATATATGAAAGCAAGTAAATTTGATTTTTATTAGGAGCTAGATTTGCGAATCAAGGTGTGAGACAAAGATAGTAATCATAACCTTACAATTATTACGTCTGCTTTTAAGATTTTTTATCCTTCTTCTTAGATATTGGCTCATTTGGTTTTAATTGCTATATTGCCAGTTTATAAGCTAGTCAAAAAATATCTAGCCACTAAGGATCTCTACCTCTTTTGTGATATTTCATTCTGATCATTACATCAAATAAATATCCTACTCTAAATTTCTAAGTATTACGTTCTTTTGCATTTCTGAATGGTGTCACAAAGATATTTCTGCTGGTTTCCCCAACCTTCCAAGCTAATAATATCCAATATTCTCACAATTGCTTGGGAACTTTTTTTATTCTTCATTTAACTGTTTATAGATTTTTTTAATCCCACAAAATTTCTGTGTATCATATTAACTTACTTGCCCTTTTTTTCAAAACTTCTAAATCTAATTACTAAAATTGTCATTTCTAATCTTGCTATCTCTACTTTGTTACTATTCATTACCTGTATACAATTTTGATTATCTTTCTACTATTTTATTGCATTTCTCTCTCTATTGCCATGAAAGATGTCTCACAACCAAATGTCTTCTTAAACTTTGCCTTTTCAAATCACTCTCCAGGATGTGAGAGTGACTGTCGCCTATTACTTTTGTGGCCTTTCTCACTTTTCACCACTTGATGTGCATTGAAACTGACCTTTTTAATGACAAGTAATAGGTAAAAACATTAAAGGGTATTTAATAATGGTGATAATTAACCAAAAAGCAAACTCGTTGCCACTGAGTCAATTTCTCCTGACAGGGTTTCCCAGACAATAAATCCTCATGGAATCAGACTGTCACATCTTTCTACCACATCGCCTGCTGGTAGGTGTGCGTCTCCACACAACTGGTTAGTAATCAAGTCATGGATTTGTTCTTTTCCCTTTTGGGGCCATGTATGATGTATAGCTCCTCTTTTAACTCTCATTGATGCCTTTATATGTTGTCCTATAAGCAAATATTTCTTTTTCATGACTTCAAATTTTGAATGACTCCTATATTTTCAAATCCAGTACTGATTTTCTTGCTTGTTATTTATCATTACTTCTTTATCAATAAATTGCTTCCCAACTTCACTACTTATCTTACTAGCATCAACAGCTTTGTATATTTTAGTTCTTTTCCATTTCAGCCATTGACTCCCTCCCGAAGTCTGTATTAATAATGTAGGTTTAAGTCTTGGTTCTGCCAGCAATAGATATGAAATCTTAGCTGAATCAATTATGCCCTTGGGTAGAATGGGTGTAGAATGGAATATTCTTCTGTAGAAAATCCAATTATTGTTTAAGTTTTAGTGAGAAATTTTTTTAGATTGTGGGGAAAATAACCATAGCTATATGATAGAGTATAAATAAAACTGAATTTGGAAGTAGAATACGAGTTTCAGTTCTTACTTAACTAGGTCTGTGTTTTAAGAAAAGTTGCTAGTTTCTTGAGTGTGAGATTCCTCGCCAAAAGACTAAAAATCATTCTGCTGTCTGACATTTCCTTCCTAAAAATTAATTATTAGGATCAATGATATGAAAGTATTTTGTAAATACACAAAGGTCTAAAGTTTCAGGTCTAAAATTCCATCACTAAGTATTTTAGACACATTTATAGTCTAGTAAAAGAAGGTCTCCTGTTTTTTCTATGCATTAAGGAAGAGCATGAAAGATAACTATCAATTATATTATGAAGTCTGGGAAATAGAAACTGTATAAAAGTTAGCCTGCTGTGCCATTTTTTAAAACTGTTCTCTCTCTATGCCTCTCCCTTTACATACTTTTGTTGCTTGCTTGCTTGATAAATTCTAAGACTGTGTGAAGTTAAAACAAAGGCCAATATAAACCTTGAGGTGAGGTTTCCCTACTAATCAGCTAGAAATATATAGCAAAAATATCAAGCCTTTTCTTGTGGTTGAGAATTATTGAGTCAATGCTGTTTTAAATGTGAAAACTTTGTCTATGCTGGTCTTAATGGGAAAGTAGAATTGAAAATAGGTAGACTTGTAAAGTGGGATACGATGGAGTGTTACCAATCAAGCAAGAAATCTTTACTATTTATCTCATTTTTTTGTTAAAGGAAATAGAAGAAATAGTGCTTATCACCTTTAAACTTATAACTTGAGGAGTTTTAAACTGTTCATAGAAAAAATGGAATGAAAAGTAAAGAAAATTTTCTAGGAACTGTTATTAAGCCCTTTGATATATTTAAAGGAAATAGGAGCTATTTTAAAAGGTACCATTGAACAATGATAATTAATGGCAAGAGATTTGCTCTACATAAGGTCTGAGGTATTCTCACCTCTCAGAATATCTTCTCAACCTGTTGAACTTCAGTTTACTGAACCCCTTCTAATTTTCAGGGCTTACACCAAACACTTTCTTCTCTGTAAAGCTTCCTTTGAATTTCCCAGCAGACACTTTTCTTTGCAAACGAATAACTCCTGGAAATTCTACTATGAGGTATATACTGTGGTTATTGTGAAGGAAAAATTTTCATTCCTAATTAAATTTTAAGTTTCTGACTTGCAGAAGTGAGAGATGAAATGAACAAGAGTTACTGAGGAAGTATTTTGTAAAGGAAATGAGATTATTTTTAACCACTAAAGGATTTTTAGGATGGGAAATGTTCCATAGCACACTGTCCATATATAATTAATAGCTAGGGGTGGCTAATGAACACTGCAAGTGTGACTAGTATAATTGAAGATGTTTAATTTTAAATAATTACCATATGTAACTAGTGACTGCTAGCCAATAGATCTACACCAAAAGCCCCAAACGCACTGCCATTGGGTTCTAGTGACGTTCTATGGCAGAGTGGAACCGCTCCGTTGGGTTTCTGAGTCTACATCTTGCCAGTGGCAGATAGGCTCATTTTTCTCCTGCAGAGTGGCTTATTGGTTTAAATTATTGACTTTTCTCTTGCCAACCTAACATAAAGCTCACTGCATCAACAGATCTGGAATTTAGCTACTTTATTTCCACATTATTGTTTTTCTAGTGGGTAGAATATGGACCCATATTGGGGCTAGCAATTCTAGAATCTTTTTCTATAGTCACTTATGTGTCTCTCACTGAACCACTGTTTTCTCAATTGTAAACCAGCAAAATAGACTAGATAATTTTTAGGGTGATTCGTGAGCAATAGTTATATGGAAGATGCCTTTGGTCGTGCAAGATTGGTGGTGCATATGTATGTGTTGTATATATTTAACGACAAACTGTGGGATACATATTTAACATTATTATTGAGCTTCTCTTGCTGTTTCGTTTAAGTTCCGTGTCAGGGGATTCTATGCACTCATGTCTTTTGTTTCTCCAGCCATTTACTTTTTTGGATCCAATCTCCTTCTTTACTCAACCCATCTCACCTGTTAGGAGCATACTACAGTGTAACAGAAGCAGAAGTGTTTGACCCAAAGGCATGAGATTAAATTTTGCAGGTGATGAATGATTAAAAGAATGAGTAAGAATCACAAATATTTACATAATAGCCAGGGCTAAAGCCAAGGATCCAGAGAGATTTGAAACACAGTAAAATGCAAGAGATCTTGAAACACAGAGATGAGATAATACAATCTTACTCAGGAGCATTCAGGGATAGGAAAGGGTCAATGGCTACTATCTGTCAACCAAAAATTTAGGGCAAATATATTTATCTGTAGCAAATTTTAAGAGTTTGGGTCTCCAATGGCTATGGCCAGGGCTCACATATTTTAGGAGTTGTGAATAATCTGACCAGACAAGGCAAATTAATTTCCTTTACTCTCTGGCCTGAGTGCAACTTTCATATTTTGACCATATCTTATCTGTTAAAAGCCCTACTAGGTCCTTCTAGTTATGACTCTGGGTTCCCATGCAGAAGCCCTGTGACCTCAATCCCATATCAATCTTTTCCTTGGTGCTATTATATTTTTGAATGGCTCTCTATTATACTTTATTATACTCACCCCTATTCTATGGTCTTTGGGTAAATTGCAAAAATGTGGAAGATGGTGTGAGAATGACTTCAGGGCATATCTATGCCTGAAATGAAATGAGGTTCAGAGGAGAGGTACCAAGGGTGACTGAACATTATTTTATGACCAATTCAAGTACAGAACCTGTAAGTTCTGGGGAAGGAAGTCATCTCCATTTCCCCTTTCATCTCTTTTTCTGTTTCAATTTATCTCCTTTTCTGCCCCTCTGAATCCTTGTCATGTACAACTACTATGTTTTCACATTTGCTCCATCCTTTTTTCATAGAAGGAAGATTGTCCCAGGAGATCACAGTGATAGAATATTGCACATCAATGTGACACACTGCATTAGGTTATACAGGTAAATGCTTTTTAATTATTATCGGACCCCCAAAATGAATTCAGGGGATGTAAAGATTGCAATATGTGAATATCCCTGAATAATAATCATTATCATTCTGAGCATTAATGTAATTCTTATTTTTGTTTTCCCTGAATTTTCTTTTATCTAATCTTTTTAGAACACTCTACCTGACAAATCAATGGATGGGGCAAATCACTCTGTGATATCAGAGTTTGTGTTCCTGGGACTCTCCAATTCCTGGGAGATCCAACTTGTCCTCTTTGTATTCTCCTCCGTGTTTTACGTGGCAAGCATGTTGGGAAACTCCCTCATTGTCCTCACTGTGGCCTGGGACTCTCACTTACACTCTCCCATGTACTTTCTGTTGGCTAATCTCTCCTTCATTGACCTCGGTGTTTCTTCTGTCACTTCCCCCAGAATGATTTATGACATTTTCAGAAAGCGCAAAGTCATCTCCTTTGAAGGCTGCATTGCTCAGATCTTCTTCATCCATGTCATAGGCGGTGTGGAGATGGTGCTGCTCATAGCCATGGCCTTTGACAGATATGTGGCCATCTGTAAGCCTCTCCATTATTTAACTATTATGAGCCCAAAAATGTGTATTTTGCTCTTGGCTGTTTCTTGGATAATTGGTTTGATTCACTCTGTGGTCCAATTAGTTTTTGTTATCAAATTGCCATTTTGTGGTCCTAATGTGCTTGACAGCTTCTACTGTGACCTTCCTCGATTTATCAAACTTGCCTGCATAGACACTTACAAACTAGAGTTCATGGTCACAGCCAACAGTGGATTTATATCTCTGGGGTCGTTCTTTATACTGATCATTTCCTACATGTTTATCCTGATTACAGTTCGGAAACACTCAAGTGGCTCGTCCAAGGCTCTGTCCACTTTGTCAACTCACATCATGGTGGTGATTTTGTTCTTTGGTCCTTGCATCTTTGTTTACACCTGGCCTCACCCAACATCACAGCTGGACAAATTCCTTGCCATTTTTGATGCATTTCTCACTCCTTTTCTGAATCCAGTAATCTATACATTCAGGAACAAAGAGATGAAGGTGGCAATGAGGCGAGTGTGCAGTCAATTTATTGTTTACAGAAAAATTTCTTAAATGATAGAATTATTATGAAATTTCCATACTACTTTGGAGTAACATTAAAATTATATTTTCCAATAACAAGTGTTTTGAGTATATTTTTAATATTTAGATGTGTCAGATTAAAATAATACAGCTGTTTTCCAACTACTTGAGAAAATGAGTTGCTTACTGTTGACTGAGAGCATGTGATGGAGTAAAAGCATCTCCAGGAAAAAAAACAATTTCTCTCTCAGGAAACATTTCCATGGTCCAAGTTTCAAAACTGAGTCTCTTCAGTGTTGAAAGGGGACCTATAAAGGAATTGTGGCACTGAAAAATTGCTACCAGATGGAACTATATACTCAAATACCCATATAGAGAAGACATATACAATTTCCAGATGTGCAGACACTTATTGATTGGGTGAGGAGGAAAGCAAAATATAAATAAATAAATAGCAATACTTTTTTTAAAGTTACCAATTTATTAATCTAGCAATACAAAGATAATCTGTCAAGTGATCTGGACTTCAATAGGGCCCTAATTCATCTTTCACCCCAGGGAAACCTCTGGGAAATGAAAAAATGAAAAGACTATTAATGATCAGGGAATCAGAACAGGAGAGTTACCAGTAGCTAGATTCTTTAAATATTTAATATCAAGTGTTGTTAGCCTAATGTCTCTGTGTTCACTCTAGTATATGCCTGCCATCATAACTGCAAAAATAAAATCCTTAGCCCAAGTCATTCTGTTGCCTTGATAGTGCTGACTACTCATAACAAAATTGAACTTTGATTCTTGTTTACACCATGTTGCAGACTGCCTGTTCCTTTCATCCTCTACATTCCTTTTTTTTTTAATCATTTTATTGGGGGCTCGTACAACTCTTATCAAAATCCATACATACATCCATTGTGTC